TTTACAGTACCAGCCATCCACCCATTCACACGCACATTCATACACCGGTGGCGGTAGGCTGCCATGCAAGGCGCCATCCAGTCCCACCGGGAGCAACTCGGGGTTAAGTGTCTTGCCCAGGGACACAACGGCACATGGTGTGGGAAGTCGGGATTCGAACCTCCAACCTTCCGATCAGAGGTCGGCTGCCACTACCACTGCACCACGGCCGCCCACAAAGAGAAAACAAACTTTGTCTCTTCAGGAATAGTTTTATGTCCACAGCTGCAGAGAAGAATGATTTTTTTTCCCCTCTTTGCTGTGTACAGTAGTCCCTCGCTACTTCGCGGTTCGTTTATCGTGGACTCACTCTATCGCGGTTTTTCAAAATAAGATTGGACATGACACACAATTGGCTGAATGATGGATGAGCCTCATGCTCTGAATGTATTTTTATTTAAAATAAACTATTTAAAATTATTTAGCACATCCTGCACCTTTGTATAGCCCACACTGCAGGATAAGCTTCCTGCTGCAGCTGATCAGCTGTTCTCTGTACAGAGCGGAGAAGTGGGCGTGGCCAAGAGCGCTTGCAGGTGGCAAAGAGCAGAGGAAGCAGGGAGCTGAAATCATGACATTTTGTGCTCTTTTAGAGCGTTTAGAATTTATAAACATTGTTTAGAATATTGCAAGAGTGTGGGAAGTGTTTAAAACGCCTTAATATATAAATACTAAAATAAACTACTACTTACTACTTGTACTACTATTCCTACTTCACGGTTTTTCACTTATCGTGGGGCTTCAGTGTACGGATCCCCCGTGATAAATGAGGGACTACTGTACTCTTCCTATCTTTTTCAGCTTTTACTTTAAAAGCCTCCATATTGTAAAATGTGCTGACAGACTAAGCATGTGGCCCCCAGGATGTTCTCATCTACATCTCGAGAGTTACAGTCTTGTCACTTGAGTTTTAGACTTGTTCAAAAAAAAAAAGTACAACAAATTGCCTCAAAATAGTTGCAGAGTTGTTGCAAGTGTTGTTACAGGCGCAGCATTAGAATGGTTCAGTTTGTACCTAAGTGACAGGATCTAAAAAAGTTAAATCTGGTCCTCTGGACCACTCTGAGTAGGTGCTATTTAGGAGACTGAGCTGAATACAGCACCTCAGACTGAAGAAGTCGCTCGGACGAGAGACGAAACGTTTCTACATTTTTTGTTGTTTTGCTTTGTTTTTTGTTTGTTTGTTTTTTTTAATGTCCAGAGGACCAGATTTAACTTTTTTAGATTTTTCTACCTGGATTATTGAGCATGCATCAGGCTAAGTGACAGGAGTTTCGGTGTTAAGGTTGGAAATAGTGTATCTGCGTCAGTGACTCTTCCCTGTGGCATCCCCCAGGGCTCGATTCTTGGACCCCTTTTGTTTTCACTCTATCTGCTCCCTTTAGGGTCTATCCTGAGCAAAGCATTTTCAACTTTGTGCTGGGAATCTCTGTGTTGTCTTTAGTCCTACGGCAGTGTTTTGTTCCCAGCATGGGCGCTGAGGTTCATGTCCAAGTCTAAAATCCACACAGATGTTCAAACATAATTAGTGAAAAACTGCTCCAAATCTGCCCGTCTTCATTACAAAAGTGAACTCCGAGAGAATAAATTATAAATGTGTGGGCCAGCTGCCAAAATGCGAGGTGGGCAGAACAGTTTTGCAAGTCTTTTGTACAACAACAAGTTGTTATTTTCAGAAAGTGGCTGGTCAGCAGGTCGCAGATACCCAGAATTCAGTATGGCTGCAACAAAAAATAAGTGACTAAGTCACAGCCCAGTAAGATACGACTTTAAAGAAAACTTCTCCCTGACCCTCCTTTCATAAGAAGTAAACTCATTCTTTTTAGGCATATTTATTAACTGTTACTTCATTTGTTTGAATACAAATGAAGAATCTGAAAGTCTAATGAGTGTTTTCAGGACCTTGTAATTAGCTGCTAAAGTCACCGATTTATTAGAAATGCAGGACTTGAGCTTCCTGGGAAGATATAATTCCCTCTGCGTCTCAGGGCTGTTTTAACAGACGAAGCTTTATTTAACCAATCACTCATCCTCCCACACATATCGGTCATTCTGAACACGACTTCCAAATCTGAGAAAACAGCCACATTCTCATTCGTCTCTCGCCCTCATCGCCCTGTGT